TTTACTTACAGAAAAGGACTTTTCATTCTACACAGCCAAAAAAAAGTTGTGTATTTGAAAAAAATAGGTAAAACAGACCACTTTAGGATCCCCTTAAGGGAAAGTAGATTTAATGCACACCATTATTTCTATATACTATCCAGCGAGAGTATATGTCTATTTCTGCGCATGGGAGAAGCACAACGGTCAAAGTAAAGAGAGCGTTGGCATTGACGAACTGCACGAGCAGTACAATCATGTGGTGGGGGGGGGGGGGACTTTTTAAACGTCCTGTGAGGGGAGATCTGCGCGAAACGAACGAGTTTCGTCCGAGCCAGATATATTCTCTCGCTAGACGGAGTATATACATATTTATATATATACCATTATTCACATCATTATTCAACTATTAAGTCGGTTTTTGTTAGGGAAAATCGAAACGTAGGTCTTGGAAATCGACTAATAGGTCTTGAATTATAAACAATTCTACAAATTTTATAATAGATTATTACAACAAAGTTTTAATTTATAATTTGTTTATTAACATATTAAATGTTAAATTTTTGGCTACAAAATGTTGTTTTCGAAGTATTTTGTGTATCAAAATTTAAGAAGAAATATATATTCCATTAATATAATTTAGTTATATATGATAAATTTTATTTTTACACGATAATATTTAATGTTGAAGTGATACTAAATACTGGGATAAGATCTATTTTTGTGTAATAAAATTATATTTTCTATTATTGAGCAGTATTCATCCAAATTAGTAAAAATGTAAATTTAAAAATATGCAAATAATTTATAAAATTAATCAAATTTAATTAGGAATTTAGCTAGGAATAAATTAAACTTAACTCGGAGGAAAAACAAGGTCCCCGTTAAAATTTTCATTCCATCATTGGAAAATGAAGCAAGTGCAACAAGGTGCATTTTTCTTTTATTATTATGTAGTGTTCTAATTCGTGATTCAAAGATACAAGGTGTCCCATGGAAAGTTGCTGAAACTAATTAACTGTCATTTTTAAACGCACATAGGGAGCAAGAAAAATGAAATATCTTTTAACAGAAGACAATTTGCAGTTTTATTTACGTATAAACTAAAAAAAAATATTTTTATCATTAAATAAACGTTTATTTAAAAAATGCTAAATATCACTAATTTTAATGGTATATATTTTTGACGCGTGCAGCGTCAGAATTATAATAAAAATTAAATCGATTTCGAAAATTATAACTGTAACTGTAACTGTAACTTTTGTTGTATAAAGTTTTTTATAGTTTCCAAAAGGACTTAATTTTTTTGTTATAATTTTGACGATGCGCATTTCGAAAATGTAAACCATTAAAATTAGTAAAATTTGGCATTTTTTTTATAAACGTTTATTTAATAATAAAAATATCTCCGATTGTTTTTAGTTTATATGCAAATAAAACTGCAAAATATCTTCTGTTAGAAGATATTTTATTTTTCTTGCTCCTTCTGTGCGTTTAAAAATGACAGTTAATTAGTTTCCGTAACTTCCCATGGGACAACCTGTACATTTATCTATAGCTGTTTTGTTATATTAGAAACATTAGATATATATACTGTTGCATGTAGTATCCAACTTGTGTAATTGCATTGTAGCAATATATGTATTATGTACTTGTAATGGTATGTAATGATATGTGTTACATAATGTCATAAAAAGGTGTCTATTTTGTTTGATAAAATTACTCAAAGCTATTATTCAGATCATGTTTAATGTGAAAAGATATGAATCAAACTAAGATGTAGGGAGCAAATGAGCCTATGCTGGTTATTGCTTATTGCAAATGTATTTGATTTACAAGATAATATCAATAAATGTTTCAATCTACATCAGACTACTTTCCTCAGCAATAAAAATTGCGTGCGGTTTTTTTCTAATCAAGTTTTCTAATCAAGTACATTATGTATTAATATTTGATTGTAAAATTGAGAACGTTTTATATTGCTCAACACTGAGGAAAGCCTGATATAGGCTGAAACATTTGTTGATATTATCTTGTAAGTTAAATACATTTGCAATAACAACCAGCATAGGCTCATTTGCTCCCTACATTCTTAGTTTGATATATATTATTGAAGCCTTGATTAATAATTTTATTTAAAAGATATAAAGTTTGATAATCTCATAATTATTTTTTTCTCTATAAAAAGCATGTTGATTTTTCAAAATTTTAAAAACTTTTATAACTTTATAAATTCAAAAAACTTTATCTTTGTTTACTTCTTTATAATGTAACTCTATATTCATACATATTTACTATTCTATGTATAACTGATATAATTTTTCGAAATCTATTATCTTTTATTGCTTTTTTATAATATAACTCTATACTCTCTTATACATTTTTACTATTCCACATATAACTAATTTATATTATTTATACTATTGCTACTACGATATTTTATTATATTTTACTCCAACAATATTGCTTTTTTTCATTAATTTATGTAATTCAGAAGAAATTAATTAGACTTATTTAGCTATGTATTCATAGAAGTATAATTTTTTCATTTATTGACGAAGAAAAATATTGTTTATATATTAATTAAAAGATAGATCGGTACGCTATTTTTTACTGCTTTAAAAAACATCTAATTTCTGCATAATTTTAATTTATACGGTTTTTTAATTCTCTAACACATTTCATAAAATTGATATACTTGAATGGTGGAAAGAATTGTACAAAATCTGTTGTGTCATAAGGACATAATAAATAGATAAATATAATACATAGAGCATTTAGAAAATATATTTAAATAATTTAGAGAGGTTTTTCGTGGGATGGATTCTTTGTTATAATTTTTTCTGCCATTAATCAGGAACCTTTTCAAATGTAACATGTAAATTGACTCGACACATATTGCGTTAGGTAGCCCCTTGAGTCTTTAAACTTCAAGTCCAAGGTTAAACAAGGTCATATAGTGGAGATATCATTTTTTCACATTTTAGTATCAATATATATGAAATATTGGCAAATTTATGACAAAGTAAAAAGCGTAATTAGGAAACGATCTCTATAGAATTTATAATATTTTAGTGTTTGCATTGTTCCTTTATCTTTGAAAATGGTTTTTCTCAAATTAAGCATTTTCATAGCTGTTCATGGTAAAAAATTGAAAAAATCATAATTCTATTATATGGTCTTATTTGAATGTTGCAATTTGCGTGTTACACTTGAAAAGTTTCCTTTGTAAGTGTGTCTATTTTGTGCCAGAAGATTATGAATAAACTGTTGAAGATTAAGCATAGTTATTATTTTTTATATAGCTATGATATTCTATGCTAATTGCTACATATAATAGATTGACAACAATTGCATGAAATTGCTTATCTCTCATATTATTTAGAATATACGAGAAAAAATCAAAAAGTAAACAGACATTCTCAATTTGGAAATCGAAAAAGTTCCTTTACTTTTTGATTTTCTCTAGTATTATGTGGTTAATTCTTCTTATACGTCTTTATTATTATTCTTAATTATTGGAACAATAATAAATGATTGAAATAATTAAAAATAGAAATATAGAAGCAATGTCAAAATGAAAATACGTATTAGCTTGCTTCGTTTGTAGGAAAGAGTTGCATTTGGTGGAAATGCCTGAAGATGAAAGAACACCTATGCGGATAGCTTTACAGAAAAACAAAAAGTCTTCTGGAATTCCAAGATCAATACCTATAGCGACTATGCCTAGTTCAAAGCTCGCAGCAATGGCAGCGAACATGAAAAAAGAGAATGATGATATAGAAGAAAATTCAGTTGATATAGAAGATGATACTGAAACTTTAGATAATGATCCGTCTATTGTAAAACTAGAAGACATATTAATTGTTCCGGAATTTATGAACAACGACGTTCAAAATGAGTCTGAAAATAAAGGTGACGTCGAATGTAATAGAGGATACAGGAATAGGGGGCATAATAAAATTGATAATGGTGAAAGCATTTTGATAGCTAACGATAACGTGCAATGTAATGCATTAAAACTTTCACGAGATGAAAAGGACAATCAAAATAGGGCAAGCACGAGCTCATCAAAAGATTTATCTTTGAGCTGTGTTAATTCTGATGCTAATTACAGGTTAGAACCAACGTAAGTTCAGCACAGACCATGGTAATGGCAATAATAACACAGAACATGAGTAAGAGTAAGAACTATTAATTAAATGTAATAGGTTTCCACTTAAGTGGAAACTTATTACATTTAATTAATAGTAGTACATTTAATTACAATAATAGTACAATAATAGTACATTTAATTAATAGTTAATTAATAGTAAAATATCTAAAAACAATTTTTATTTATTAACGATGGTAGTGTAAATTAATCCCTCATTTTTCAACATTAATAAATAAATAAATTTATAAAAAATGCAAACATTGAAGCTTTGCTCAATTATAATCAAATCTGCAAGATTCTGTAATAAAACACAAAAGAAATGTAATATTATTCTTATATTTATTTGATTAATTAATATCGCAAGTGTTATTATATATATATAAATGTTATAGTATATATGACGAAAATTGGTTTCTTTTAAAAATTAATCTAAAACTTAAAAAATTGAGATAAAAACTATATCAAAAATATAGATCAATCATACAAAATAAGTGAACATGTATCATTTTATATTGTATATCAAATTTTATATTTTTGATGCAGTTTTTATCTCAGTTTTTAAAGTTTTAGATTATTTTTTAAAGGAAACCAATTTTTGTTATATATATTATAACATTTATATATATATATAATGACTCTTGCAATATTAATTATATAATCAAACAAATATAAAGAATATTACATTCTTTTTTTTATTACAGAATCTATGTTGCAGATTTGATTATAATTGAGCAAAACTTCAATTTTGCATTTTGCATTTTTTATAAATTTATTTATTTATTAATGTTGAAAAATAAAGGATTAATTTGTACTACCGTGGTTAACGAATAAAAAATAATTAAAAAATTGTTTTTAGATATTTTATTATTAATTAAATGTAATGTTTGTAATTATTTACTTGATTGGTGGTATATTATATTTATATGTTGGAATATTAAGGGTAAGAAGTTGGCACTGTAATTTGTATTTGTAAAATTCATATTTGTAAGGTAAAAGAGTTTGTATAGTTTTCATGAAAATTATTATTGTAAATGCAAGTTAAAACAAATTATGAAGTTAAAGCAAATTATTAAGTAAATACAAGTGATTACTTTTCAGACTACTTAACAGAAACTGTGCTGTGTTTTTTATATTTAATGTCTTTAACTACGTAATATTTAAAGTTCTTACTATTGTGTATTTCTGTGATATAGAGAAGAATTCGATAATCATTTGGATACAATGCAAACTAATCTGGATAATGCGCGTGAATACTTACGCAATGAATTCTTGCGTGGTGATGGCTACAGCATTGATGCTAACACTCTTCTTGGGGTAAATATAATAAAGCTTAAAAGCTTTTCAAAATCAATTAAAAATCTTTGTAGTAATAAACTTAATAAAAAAACTTTTTATAAAAAAAATATATTTATCACGAAACATTATTGATATTTTTTTTACAGCTGTTTGACAAAGATGATTCAATGACACTTGATTTGCCAGTCAATCAAGAATTGAATCTAAACAGTGAGAAAGAGAACGATAATACTTCTATAAGTAAGTTTTTGTAATTACTATCTTTTAGAACATGAAAAGATCTTTGTGCGTGCGCGTGCGCGCGCGTGTGTGTGTTTGTACATTATATTATTTTTAGAAAATCATAATGTTAAATATTTTTTTAATTTCAGTTCCGGATGCATCTAACAATGTATCTGTTGGTGGAGAACTTATAACATATAATCCTCCGCCTAATCTAATGGATTTTGATGATATTTTATTGGGTAATGAATCATCTTCGTCGCCTATCCCATCAGATTTACCTACAAATAATCTATATACTTCATATACAGGTCCTTTACAGGACTTGGATGAGAATTCATTTTTTGACGCTTTAGTACCAAATGATATGAATACACCTGATGTAATATAAACATTATTTCCGGTAAGTTTATTTCCTATTTCTAGAAGATTTTTAAAATTTTCTCCTTTCATTGTTCAAAAATTAACGGCACAAATTCAGTGCATATTAAATTCACTAAACTTTCTATGATAATCAACACTATCCAATCGAGATTATTGTTATCAAATTCTGAAAATTAGATTTTAAAGAGGTACATTTTTCTTTTTTACATAAAAAGATATTCTCTCAGGATAGATTTTTTTACAGGTTGATCACTGTTGCATCCAATCGTTTGGTTTCAGTATGTTTTATTCTGAATGGGTCAACAAACCAATATCTTTAATCAGCAAACAAAACTACGAAAATAATTAACAGAAGTGAAAAACTCATTATATTTAACAATCACAAAAATCGTGTTTGATGGTATAGTGACAAATCTCTATAGGCATTTATAAATCCATTGGATTTGTTGCCACACAATAAGATCTAATTAAAAGAAATAATTTTTGTTGAAAAGCTATGTGCTATGTTTCTTGTAATATATATAAATTATATATATATATAATTACATAAGAAGTAGTGCAACTGTAAATTATAAATGTACCGGTAGAAATTCTATTTTGCCATAACAAATAGTAAATGCATATATGTAGCGCTCGATTATATTTTGATTATACTATGTACTGCAGTTTTTTCCAAATTTTTATACTAATTTTCCAATACATCGTAACAATTGATTTGATTATACACACTGTGAATGTACAAATTTATAATAATTATTTTATTCGAGTATATCATTTTTATAAACTTATTTTTTTTAAATAGAGTCTCAATATCTATATAGTAAATTTATATAGATAGTATATCTATATTGTATTATTATCATATTATATATTATGCCATTTTGGTCACACTATTAAAAATTGAATAACAAATTATACGCTTTGAAAGATTTTATAAATTTACAGGACAATTTCACAAAATTTTAATTTATATTGTATAATGTGTATTTGTTTTTTTGTAATGTATAGTATAACTTATTTAAGCTTGTTTTTTTAGCTTTTTGATGGAAATCATACCTGGATTCTTAATTACCTAGAAAGCTGCTGTAATATGGAGAATAGGATAAAGCGCGCTATTGCAAACCATGCAGTATTTACTATCAGATTCAACATAAGGATAGTATCTACAACAAACACTATTGACATTACTTAGCTTACAAAACATAATGCATTTGATAAAACAAACAAATGTAAAATAAAGCAATTTAACAAAAGTAAAATGAAGCAATTTGACAAAAATTTTATCTAGTGCTTTACGTTATATGCAAAAATGTTATGTTACATTTTCTATACAAAACTTACGAAATTTTCGAAAAAATGATAATGCATACAAACAATAATGCGTAATTATAATGCGTACAAACAAGTACGAACAAAACTTTTATTAAAAGTTTATATTTATAAAAACTTACAAGATCCATTATAACTGTAATACCATTATTATAAATTTTTAATTCTTACAGAATTAAATTTTAAAAAAAATTCTTAAAAATTAATTCTTAAAAAAAATTAGATGATAACGATACTATAGTTATAGTGGGTCGCGCAAATTTACAGATATAAAGTTGTATCAAAACTTTTGTTCGTACTTATATGTTTATACGCATTATAACTAATCATTTTTTCGAAAATTGTCATAAATTTTGTAAAGAAAACGCAGTATAACTTTTCATATAACATATAAAGCACTAGATAAATCTTTTGTTAAATTGCTTTATTTTACTTTTGTTTGTTTCATTATATGCATTATGCTTTGTAAATTGCTTAATAAAAACATAATAAAAAGCTAGACAGATTGATAAACTTACGAGTGCACGTAAAAAAGCTGTCTTAAACATATTTTTTTTATTCTTAAATAAATGTTAATTATCTCACTACGGTACAAGGCAAAATATAAAAAGTGATAGTGCGAGTTAAGATTTCAGTGTTTTACATGCAAATGTTTTCATACATTGCTAGTTAAACATTCATGGTCAAATCTTCGATCCACACATGTTTAAAGATCAGAGTGACTTTATTTTTTTACTGTGTAATAATTTCTGCATAAGTATGTATATGTAAGTGTACGCGCGCGTGCGCGTGTACACACATAAAACAAACAAACATGCACTAGCAATCAATAGGAAGACAACATTTTCTTTAACAAGGAATATTGTAACAAATTCGTTTATCATTAAACATTTAATCTGGCTCCATAAAAAAAACTAACATAGTTAATTAAAACACTGATATCTTATTCTTGAACCTCTACTAATAAGTTAGTAAGTTGCGTTCTTTTGTATGTGTAAGAATACGTCAATTCGCTTAATGCAAATGCACCGATTTGCTTGGTCCTTTATCATTATGCAGTGCATTTGCAATGGGTGAATCAAAGCTCGAATGTATAGTAGAAAATGATAACTCTAGACTACTGTATTTTTATCATGTTAACGCTCCATTTTAAGTTAGAGATAAGTGTAGTTAGGTTTTTCTAAGCACTGCAAAAGCAAATGTTTGGCATATTATTTTGAAATGATCTAAAATCTCCCTTATATATAATTTCGTATATAACCCAGTCAGCTCAATTTTTCATTTATAAACTAATTAAATTTTATTTCATATTTAAATTTCAAACTTGAAACACATTTGAAGAGTGTATAAAAAATTTCGAAGATTTATTAACGTGCGATGAATATTTATTAATTACATTAAAATAGTCATTGTGCTGGCAATTTGTGGATTTTTGTATTATATAAAATAGCAGAGACCTACTAATTGTTTATATTAACATTAGATTTGTATTTAATAAGAGATATTAATGGTCGAGTGTTTTCACTTGAACAGATAATGTTTAATATGTCACAGTTTATTATGCAGTATATTATACTGTTTAAGAGATATCAAATACTGATACCTTCAAGGGTTGATACAAAATGTAAATGACGAAATCGAAATTAACAAAACAAATATTTGTAGTGATAAATTGTTTCATTAATTGTATTTGATGTGTGTACAATGAAGGATAATTGTTTTCTTTAGAAATAACAAGGGGCCAGCAAGAGATAACTAGCTTAGCTTAAGTTCATAGTTTGACTTTTCAATATTAACTGTGATTATCAATTGGCATTATATATTTGGTTAAATAATATGAAAACATATGCACACTCAAACTACTTAAGTAATTAATATTGCTATAACACAGGAATCTTATCCGCAGATCTACAATATCTAACATAAGATCTCTATAATACACAATTTATATCATTTTTTTATTTGCATCAATAACAGTCTTCTATTGTTAAGTCTGTGGTAAGCATAGTGGAAATTAGCAAAATTAAAATTTTCATTACTGTCAATAATTATGTTAAATGTTTGTTTTAATAAAGCGTTTTATAACACCCACATATTCATAACGTATGTTTTAATATTTTCCTCTTGGTTAATGCACCATATAAAATTATCTTCGTATAACCATTGTCTTAAGATAATTGCATATTGTGTCTTTTAATTGTTTGCTCATTATTATAAATGTATTTTTTGAGCAATACGTTATGTTTTTATTCCAAAAACTATGATATTCTAATAGTTTTAAAAATCTATATTCCTGCAATATAATTAAAATAATATTGCATATATTATTATTCAAATTAGATTTATTTATGTTTAATAAAACAAGACATCTCGGATAATGTAATACAGGGAGCTTAAAAATTTACAATTTTAACTGATGTCAATATATAAATAAGAATGCATTAATATTTTCAAATATGTACATGTACATAATATGTTAATAAATTGTATAAATTATAATTTTAGTTTTTTTATTATCAGGAATGCTATTAAAGTTTTTATACTCAAATACTGATAGATATAATTGAACTTGTGGAATAAATTATCAAATTCTTCACAAAGATTTTTACACATGTATGGAACATTTGATTCAAAAAAAGAATAAAAATAATATTGCTTAGATATTTCTAGATACCAAATTAACAAAGTATTTAGTTTTCTAAGTACAACATGGTTATCAATTTCATTGCTGTTCTTCAATTTGTAGTGATTCTTGAAATTGTTTCCTAGCTTCCCGATTAGATTGTAACAATTCGATTAATTCTGCATGTATATCATCATTTTTCCTTTCCAAATGATCCAAAGCAGTTTGCAAATGATCCAACTGGTCCTCTAATGCTTTAAAACCTGCATACAAGATATATGTAATATTAATCTTTCTTATTTACTTATATAAAAGCAATCCTGTAGTTGTATTATTTATTGACAGAAGCTTATTCAATAAACAATTTATATGCTTTGTTTTAAAATTCTATACACATATTTATGTATTTATTCAAACATATATTAGAAATATAGATCTAAATTAGATCTAATAGAAGTTAGAAATAAAACTCATGTTGACCTTATAAACATTTATAAATTTTACAGAATTTATTTTCTAACAAAAATTTAAGTTTACAGCATTCTTGATGCTTGAAAGAATAAATTTAACAACATTTTTTTACCAGTATCAGCGGAATACATGTCTTCTTCGAAACTATCACTAATGTCATTAGAGTATTCCTCGTCCTCGACACATTCCATTTCCTCATTGGCATTCTCCTGATTATTTTCTTCCGGTTGCACTGTTTCATCCATATCTTCTACTTTTTCTTTTTCCTCTGGGGCTGGGTATTCGTCCCTAACCATATCTTTTCTTGCCACTTGCATTAGCGAACATCTGAGAATCAGCTGACTCCACTCACTTAAAGGTATATAGACAACAGTCACATGAGTAAGGTCTCATGACATGTAGCGACAGTATTTTGATCAACAGCAGATAAAAAAATCCTCTAATGCATATTCAGTTTCCAAGTTTTAGCTGCAGATATCGCTACTAGATGATTAAACATGGCAACTGAAGGGAACAAATATCGTACGTATGAGTACTAAATAATGGTATCAATTATGAATTGTAAGTTAATATTCATTAAATACTCTGAATATTCTTATTTTTATGTTAAATAATTAATAAAATTTTGTACTTTAAAAGTTACAATATCGCACTTTGATAGTTTTTGAACCGCGATTAGGCTCGGACGCGCCGCGGCGGATGCATGGTTGCATTTAGTTTTATTATCATATCTCTCTCGTAATTGTTACTGCTAAAAGAATCTTGCGCGCGAAAATTATCACGATTATTTTTGATAAAGTATCGGACATACATCAACAATCCGTCTCAAATCGATCAAAAAACTCTTCGCATAAGGTTATTTTTTGGCCGAAATATCAAGAGTACAACGGCTGCATAATCATTGCTAGATATATATTACATGCTGTCGTTCTGTAATTGCGCTAGTTTTTTGTAAAAATTTGCTATTCTGATCATTTCTGATATTTATTAAGATATTAAAATTGTTTTCCAGTGTAATTATTGCAAAGTTTGCTGCACTGATCGTACAGTAATGTTTTCCATAAATTTTGAACGGCAACAGTTTCAGAACGTTGCCACGGCGATGGGAAAGTCGCATTCACTTTGTATTTTTATAATTGTTATTGTCTAAAAGTAGTTCGCGCACAAAAGATTATTGTAAACATTCTCGTAAATCATTAGATGTTTGTCGTGATTTGTGTCGTTAATTATCGTATACAAATTTCAGTGTTAACAATCCACTTATATATATGCGCAAATCGAAAAAAATCATCTTTACGTATTACAGATTATTTTCTCTTCGAAGTGCATGGAAACAATGATGCGTAATTATTATCAGGTATGGATATGTATTTGTTCCGTAATTGCGCTAAGTTTTGTAATAATGATCTATTTTGACCATTTCTAATATATCTATTAAGATTTAAAAATTTTTTTGGAATTGTAACTATTGCAAAGTTTGCTGCACTGATTGCGTATAGATACTTTGCGAATCGCAATGTTACTCGTCCATAAATGTGTCTCAATAATATCGATATTTTAAAAGATGGCAATACTGTTCTTTAACGGATCACTAACTGCAATCACAGAAATTGTCGCGGCGGTTACAGAGTTATTATATATTCGAATCGTTTCGTATTTCTCGTTTATTGTTCAAAAGTAATCTCGCTCGCGAGGAATTATCGAGAGTGTTTCGTTAAAGTATCGGACATTTGTTGTAACGCATTAAATAGTACATCTAATTGCGATTCCAATATCAACATTTTTATGTATCTGAAATTGGTCAAAATCTTCTTCGTCTTTAGATTATTTCCTCATACATGAAATATGGCGGAAATCATATGGAAATGTGCAATTAATACACAATCATTTCAAGTACGTATATCTAATATCATCATTTAATAATATGCATCGATTATTTTCTGCATTTTTATTACGAAAAGTTTTGAATTGCCATTAATAATTTTATATTTTCTGCGTAGAACGACCAGTAAAACAATAGATCGTTACTATTCTATGTCTGAACCTATTATTGTTTTATCTTTACATTTGAAAATAATATTTTCTCAAAAATTGCAATATTTTTTTATATTATCTGTATCGGCAGCAAAAAATATGTATATTTATTATTGCAATGTTTAGCTGTGTTCAAATTTTTAATAATTCTAAATTTATTTGAAGTTACAAAATTTGAATAACATTTTATCTGCATAACCCCAATAATATTTTATTCACACAACTGTAGTTATCTTATCTAATAAATACTATTTACCTACACTTGTATTTTTACCTACAATTGCATTTCACTCGTAGAGTTAGTATTTGAATTTTATAATGTGTGAAGTTACATCGCATCACCGCTAGATGACGATAGCGTAACATTCACGTTACGTTACGTTTCGTTGAACATAAAATTTCAAACGACGGTGTGAAGTGTAATATTAATGTTTTGCATTCAGTATTAAATGTTAGGTACTTTGTTGTAAACTAGAAATGTAGAATTCAATGCACAAAGCAACGGAAAACAACAATGGTAACATTTGTTACGTTTTTTATATACTTTTTTTACATATTTTTGAAACAATAACTTGTAGGTTATGTATATATATAAACAATTTTCTTTAAAAAATTTTACTGTTATTCATATTTAATAAGTATAATTAATTAATATATACACTCGAAAATATGGATATGCCTATTTATAACAAAAAACAAAGAGATTTGAAGAAATGTTATTTTGATACTTTTTCTTCGTGCGCTATGCAAGTGCTAATGGAATGAGAAATTTGATTCTAGGAATGAGAGAGACGTTAAGACTCGAAGTATGCGTATCGTCATTGGATTCCCCTCTAACACTCGCCTGATGTTCTTAATTAGGGAGATCTGCGGCAGAGACGGGAGATTTTCGAGACGCCCTTTATTGCCTCCTTGAAGGGAATTGGACACGGAATGCAAACTTCTACGCCCTTAAACGTAAGTCACGTCATGCTATTTAGTTCAGTATACAAATAAGAAGTGCTCAATCAAACGATTATGATCTCGATATTCTTTTATTTTTATTCGTCATTTTAATTGGACGTCATTTATATTCTTTTCTAATGGCATAATATTATTTGCCAGCGGCAAATGAATAATGTTACTCATTGTTTTAATAATATATGTAATATGAACAATGCAAATAGTACTATTTGGTATATAATATTGTTTACGATTTTGTTATAAGTGCAGAGATAGTGTTTCATTCAAAATTTGGAGACACATTATTATATATTGAGAGAAAAATATGCGATATTTGGAATTATAATTGCATAAGACTATAATTATAGTCAGAATATTTACTTTTATTTTTATAGAAATTATTACTACACGGAAAACATTTTATATAAAAAATTACTATGTACAGCAGTAACCGTGGACCATAAAGCTGCAAACCGAAAATTTTTACTATGTTTCACATGTGAAAAACATAGTAAAAATTTTTATAATTCCTTCATGGTCCGCGGCTACTACTGTACATATTAATTTTTGATATAAAATTTTCTGTGTACTAATATAATATGACTAATCATATAACCAATCATATAATTAGAATACCTATAAAAATATGGTTGCCGAAAAATACTATAAATTATGGTTACTGCAATTATTCTTTTCTCTCAGTGATAGAAATGACTTGTTTGTTTTCTAAATTTATATCAAAATATCAACTCATTTTCACGTATATTAAAAATTTATTTCATATTTGATTGAACAGAGAAATGATAACATTTTCCGCGATAACTTACATTTCTATTATCAAATGTTTAATATTAATAAAAAACCTTTACTTTGTTCGTTCAATATTCTCAAATCGTGTGTTATTAGCAGTGCTCAAAATATTCGAAAAATATTTATTGTGTTCTCTAAAGCTTTATTTATCTTTGAATAAATATTTTTTTCAAAAATTTACTAAATTTTCAAAAAGGAACTTTTACATATATAAATTTTATAAAATATTAGATTAATAAAAATTAATTTTTATATAAACATTAAAAATAACTTTAAATTTTGAACATATAAAAAATATTTATAACGTTTACAAATTAAATAGTGTAAATATTTTACTAAATATTCTAAGTATCTGAAAGTAATTTATTTTGTATGTAATATATTATAAATGTGCATAATATGGCACTGCAGAGATAAATAATTAATATTTTACATACAATAAATAATAAATAAATGATAAAAATTATTTACCTTACACCAAATCTTCATTTATTTCGTTGATGATCGATGCTTTCTTCATCCTTCTTTCAATGATTCAACGCTGATTGTTTCTTCACTCGCGAAAATTAATTGTAATCACGCAACATATTTTGCAATAAAACTTGAAAAGCACGATATCACACAGATCGGCTGGACAAGCAAGCAAACGGCAGAGGTAAATGTAAATCGAAAATTAAAGTTAATTTTGCGTGCACACGTCGCGACTCTGATAAACTCAAAGTATTTTTGTAAGCTCTTCTGTGCTTTTCAAATATGAAAAATAAGAAATTTGCGTTTTAAAACGTTTAGAGTATTTAATTATTGTTTAACTGTTGTATTATAACACATGAATAGAATATATAAGTTATAATTAAAAACTTATAATTGCAGAACGCAATATCTGACTCACTAATTGTGAAAACTAATTAATTATGCAAACTGTGAATCGGAAATTATTCCACAGAAATAATATTTTAATATTTATCGCGATCGCGATATGTGTGATAGACGATAATATAAAACGATTCCCGCTGCCGTCTGTTCTGCTCGACTATTGTGCGAATAATGCGTAGGTCACAGCGCGCCACAATAACGTACGTGTATCATGACATCACAAAACAGAAAAACAACCACCGAGCTGCGCGTAAAGTATTTCTACCTCGCGACCTTGTCGATTGGGTTATTGTATATTTACCTATAAGATGATCGCGCGTCAACAGCACATACCATTCGCACGCCGGCAGCGAAATAGCTTACAATAGTATTATTACGCAATTACGAGAATTATTAGAAGTCCAACCGATATAGCTTCGTGCGATTTCGTGCGTCTTTCGAGTTTTTCCTTTGTCATGATATGACAAAGTTCGGGAGAACCGTGAATATCAATTAGTCGTAAAATATTGCGCGATAATTAATTTTTGCGAGTGAAAGGTAGTTATATCGATAAATCATTGAGACGAGAAGGAGGGAGGCATCGGCAGAACAATTGAAGATTTAAAAAATTGAGATAAGTAATTTATCATTTAATTATTATATTTTGTGCTCACGGAAATTTTAAGTCGAGCAGCTCCGAATCTCAATGAATATAATTCGATATTATAAGAAGTATATATATGAAAAATAAGAGAGATAGACGAGAAATATTCCTTTTAAATATTTTGAAAATCAATTTTATCAATTTTCCAATGCATGCTATTTTTGCTACAATTTTTTTTACTGTTCGAACTGATCGGATTTTCAGACATTACTAGTTGAAATTACAAATTGAGCACTGCTTATGTTGGAATTGGCAGAGATGCTCGAACTCGATCTAGTTATTTTATTTTTACTATAAATTCGAATTTAAACATACAAAATGCTTGAATTATTTGTTTGAACCCTAGGCAATGCGAGGAGATAAGTTGATAAATACTCAAATATTCCTATTCTGTTTATATTTATTTGTGGTTTTTTAATAAAAACTGTAATCATTTATTCATTTATTAGATTTCGATATCTCAGGATATTGCGAGTTGAAAAGATCAATAAATCTCGGGCTTCTACACACATATTCAGTTTTATCAAGTTTTTCGATATATTGTAGATCAATCATCTTTAAAATTAGCGCGATATTGCACTGTTCGTTTTAGATTACGAAATATGTATGCACTTTCTCTCGGACAAAAGCGTCGAGAGAGTATTTTGAAATACAGCTGCGGTATTTCGATCTGCACGTACATCGTCGCAATGATTTTTGTTCCGACTCGCAGTATTCCGTATACATATATAATTCATTAGATCGACCGCCGTGCGCGCAATATTTTGTCAGACTTGATTACAAGCATGCAATATGCATCTCTCGGCTCGTGGCGGCTCCCCTGCGAAGGATCGCCCCTCTTGTAAAACGTCGTTAATTTTGAGCCACGGGGTCCGTGCCTTTTCGTCTTCCCTTCCTCCTTCCCATCCCGCTCTAGTGGCGGACAGTCAATAAATTAGGGCGCGGTAATCCTATCCGAGGCGTAGTACGTTTTTAACATAGGCCAAGTTGTTGCGGTTGCCTACGCTGTTAACTCCTTCGAGGGTACAGGAAAAAAGTCTGCAGATTAGCCGTGTTTAGAGAGTCGGTTTAATGAAACTGTGGGAGGAGGGGATTAAGTGGCAGAAACGTAATACTGATGCGATAAAGGGCGAGCGCTAAACAAGAATAATGCGGGATACTTTAAAAGTTAATTACCGACGGAAGTTGCAAAGAAGTTAATGAATGTTACCGTTTACGCGATTATTTCAGCGATATATAACGTAGTTAAATATAATGTTAAATTTTAATTGTTATCTTCGCGATAATTTGATTATGAATCGCGCATACCTGTGGATTCCTCTCGCGATGCTTGTCGCAACGTTGTGCCGACGACGAATCTTTCATGAATTAATACGATCCACTTTCGAACTAGGTCAATCGGGGAATGTTGCACGCGCGTTTCTGTCATTGCGATCAAGGTGCTTAGCTGAATCAGATTATGTGCTGATACGGGTCGCCCGAGGAGCCGATACCACGAATTCAGAGCAAACTAATCGATTGTTTTCCATCACAAGGTTCTCCTTCATGGAACTACTCGAGTCTTATACAACTGCGCTATACTATTTCAAGCGAAATAGAATATTAAGTAGATTTTGTGAAAATTTCTTAAATTTGTTGCATAGAGTTGACGGGAAATTATCAGTTTTTGTTTTTGAAACATTAATTTTGAACTTTGCACAGCGTACAGTATTCTTAATAAATTTAGAAATCTTTTCCAAAAGAAAATTATATAATTGTATATGTCACGTAAGCAAAATTTATTACTAACAAAAAGAAAATTGAGCTTGTGCAGCTGTGCATCTTTAGATAATTTTGTAAAAAATATATAACAATGAAGATTTAACATTCCATTTGACGTGTAATGTTGGAGGCAGGGGAAAATCTCAGAAATACTTACAATTACAGTTCAAGCGCGAATTAATCTATCATCCCTAGACTTTTCGTGTGCACTCTTTTCGTGCACATCAAATATATCAAAAGAGACAGTTGCATTTTGCGCACGGTTGGTACAAAGATGTATCGGCATAGATTCAACCAGAGAGATGCAAACCAATCAGTCTAATAGAATCTCCCCTGTTGCCTATCGAATGATTCATAGTACGTCGCTCGGGAGAAGCGAATTTATTAATAAGACCGACCAAGCTCGGCTCTCTGAACGGATTCGTCATTATGACGTATGTCCTGTCTCACAGATATTTAATATTCAAAGCTAGTTAGTCGCCGGGATCGTCTTTTCCTCTATTGAGATATAATCACACATATAGATGTTAAAATCGTTAGAATGTAGTTCTGAATGATGGGCTATTTATTACACACCAGAAACATTTTGAAATTAACAGGATTAAATCTGGAATTGAGATCCAATTCAATAACGCGACATATTCAGAAATTCATTATTGTACAATTGTTAAATTACATTTCTTGGAATTGATTGCAAATAAATCAAAATTCATTTTTGCATATTAAGGAAAAAAATTATAAATAAATTTGTAAAGAAAAATTGTGTACAACAGACAGCGCAATGGTAATAAATTCAGATTTCATTGATCCTGCCAGGATTGAGCGAAAAAGCGTGTATGTATGTCCGTTTTTATTTCAAACGAGAAGATAACTATTATGCAAGTGTGAGCAAGCTTCCGCGCTTCATAATGTTATACCGGGCGCAGATATAATGCCGCGAAGGATGCGCGTTACTCCGCATATTACATTCACCGCGTAACCGTTACCGTAAAAATAAAGCTGTCCCACATTTTTCACGCAAAAAGAGAAGTCGCGTAGCGCCGTCTCTTCGGCGGAATTTTATCCGTTACGTTTAAGTCGCAGTACACGGCGTTTTCCTCGCGTGCGACATTGTTTGGTGAGTGCCGCGGAATAAATTCGTATCGCACAGTTCCTTTCTCTCTGCGCGTTGTTACGACGGCAAAGGGATCGCCGCGCGAAGTACAATAGATTCGGAATTCGTTCGTCGATGACGGAGGGGTTGGGGAGGGTGGGGGGGAGGGTTCGTGTTCGCCCGGGCATGACTTACGTCAGGTTTGCATAACCGCGCAAAGTGCAGAAACGTATCGCATTGTCGCGCCGCGTCGTCTCCGCGTCCCAGAGAAGAACGGAGAGAACCTCGGCCAAAGCGCACTGGAAGTGCAACTTCTTGCGCAAGAGGTGCTCCCGCAGTGATTCATCATTGTTACGGGGAATATTGGGATATATATCGGCGGCGAGGTCCCCCGGGCGGAAAGCAAATGGAGTAGACAGGGGTCTATACCCTCCATCTACTTAAATGCCCCTACATTCTAGCAATGGAAAGGATAGGCGCTCGCCCGTTTCCCTCGGTTCCCCCCGCGTACAGTTTTCTGATTAAACTACGTCTATTACCACGAAGAGGGATCGCGCTTTACGCCACACTCCGCACAATCGCTTTTACGATTCACCCCCCGATCCCGGGCCTTGTACAAGCCTTTCGCAATGCAATTTGTCGCGACGACGGCTTACGTCATGACTTATTATCACCGGTGTCGGAAAGAGTGGTTGTACTATTCATTATTCATTATGTCACGCACACGTGACAAATATTTGCGGTGATTGGGATTGTTGTTTTTCCGATAGAATTCGTATAAGCTTGCAATTTGTTTGTCATGAAAATATTCTCGTGTTTTTTTTTTTTTTTTTTGGCCGATATTTCTATGATTTTAATGGATGGAAATTTTACAGCCGTAATACTTGTCGATGTAAATTGGAAAACAATTATTTTTTTAAAGAGATTCATAAAAGATACTTTACAATCGCCATCTTTATAATTATTGCAACTACTTCAGAGTTACGATCGCGTTATCATGTCGCGTAGCAGTATAATAAATTATTGCACGTTGCGCACGCTCCCCAGGCAGTTTACGTTGCCAGACATCCCACGGAGCGTCTTTGAGTCCACTGTGAGTGCTTAAGAGTCTGTCTTGTGTCGGAGCTAGTCCGCTGAAAATTTCACAACGTTCAGCTCCGCTCTCGAGCCTCGCCTCGATCGCGTGCAGGTGCATCTCGCGAGTCAACCGGCAATCTGTCGGCGTCGGCGCTCTAGATGCACCCGGGTCCTTTCTCCAGTTACTGAATTTCATCTACGAGGTGTATAAAAATGAGCGAGAGCGTGCGCCATATGCGAAGCGCCATGTGGTAGAGGGTCAACAATGTCACCGACCGCGAACGAACATCTTTCCCGTATCTCGAGGCGAGAAGAGAAAAGAGGGAGGGAAGAAGAGATGCGCTGCACGCTAGAAGAGATGAGCACCTGCTTGCCTCGGGGTGAAGCTCCGCGGATTCTCTCTCTCTCTC